ATAGCTGAAACATTCTCGACAGAACTTTCCTCCCTAACCATCTTCAGCATGCAGTAACAGTTGCTAATTGTCAGTTTCTGTATTATCACATGATGAGCTGGATAGCCCAAAATTTAACACATGAACCTTTACAAAGCCAAAAGCTCTTTACTACCCCACTAAGCACACTGTTCAGTTCGCCTGGCAGGTTTTTGTTCTATTTTGGTTTGGTTTGGTTTGGTTTTGGTTTTGGTTTTTGGTTTTTGGTAGCAAGGCTTTCTGGATGAAGCCGTGTGCTGATCTTCTTTTGGGATAAATTCTTTAATCTGTGTAACTGCCTCAAGACTGGTTTTGTCATTGCAGCTCTACTGCCAGAACATAATCCGACATCAAACTTAAGCTCCAAATTACATTTGTTGACCATGTAGTACTTTGCGTTTTTATATCATTTAAAACCAGTTGTGTTTGTCAGTCATCAAACCAAGCAAAGGAAGAACTCTTGCTTCTTACCACATGAAGTTCAAATCACAGATACACTGAATCACTATGTCAGCAATATCTGTGCATTTATTAAGTTGTGGTGGTAAACACTTGGCTACTTTTATTTGTTTCCTAAATTGGTACCACTCTGCATCCCCAGGCAGTCCCTGAATTTGTCAGGCTGTGATGTCATTAGAAAATGGTACTTTAACTGTCACCCCAGATTTTCAAGAAAACATCTTTAGTACAGTCTTTGACCATTGTCTGGCAATCGTATATGGGTTTTTAGTCTTAGCAGTTCAAAGTGCTGTCTTAAGAGCATTAATGTTACATGTGAAATATTGAACATGAGCTTTTAATTTAATATTCTTTGAAATAATTCTTTCGTCTTAGAACTTCTTTCTTTTGTTATATGAGTGACAAATAAATTTTAATGGTTTCTTTGCTTTGTTAGCCAGTACATCTTTGCAATTAATGCAAGTGTGGTTTTAGCAATTCACAATCAACAATGGCTATAAAACTCAATATATTAAGAATCATAATTCCAGGTAAAATTAACATGAACTCTTTTGGTCTTCATTTCTTTGCAGTCACTTCCATTATTATCATTTCATTAATCACAACAGCTGTATTCAGAAAGCTATGTCTTTTCTTGACAAGATAATTCAGTGAAGCTTGTTTTACCACCAGTAAGTTAAGGTTAAAAAGGAATAATACAAATTTATTTCTATAATTTGCCTAATCTTAAATTATAAATTTAAAAAAAACAGACTTTCAAGAAGCAATAGTTTTCTCATTCAAAGGAAGTTTCGTTTTATCGGTATTTCCTTTTATGGGTCATACTTCTGGTGTCAAGTTGAAGAACTCCTCACTTAGCCTAAGTCCGCCAGATTTTTTCCTATGCTGTTTTCTGAAGTCCTGTAGTTTCATGTTTTACATTTGAGTCCGTAATCCACTTTGAGTTAATTTTTTTTATAAAGGGTGAGATTTAAGTTTAAAGTTTACTTTTTTTTTTGTCTACAGCTGTCCAGTTGTTCAGTACTATTTGTTAAAAAGGCTTTTTTCCCTCCACTGAATTGTTTTTACATCTTTGTCACAAATCAGTGGGAGTAAGTAATTGTTTGGGGCCTATGCCTAGTTCCACATTCTGTCTCACTGATCTACGTGTCTTATCATCGTATACCACACGTTGGATTCCTGTAGCTCTATGATAAGTCTTAACATCAGCTAGAGTGAATCTTTCTCTTTCAAAATTGTTTTAACTATTATAGGTCTGTGCTTTTCCGCGGAGAATTTAAAATTAGCCTGTCTGTGTTTGCAAAAAAGCCTGAGGGGTTTTGATAGGCTGAATGGACACTTTTACTGTGTTGGATCTTCCCATGTGAATGTGGTATGTCTCCATTTATTTAGGTCTTCTTTGCTTTCTTTCATCAGCATTTTGTCATTTTCAGCATACAGATTCTGTAGTTTTGTTTTGTTTTTTTTGGTTTTTTTTGGTTTAGCCTATTTCATTTTCTTTGGAGCAGTTATAAATGGTATTATGTTTTTACTGTCATGTTCATTGTGTGTATATGTATGTAGAAATGCAATTGATTTTTACATGGTGATCTTGTATCCTGTGATCCTGTTGAACTCATCAGTTTTAAGAGGTTTTTTGTTCTGTTTTGTTTTGTTTTTAGATTCCTTGGGACTTTCTACATAGATGATCATTCTGTGTGCAAGTAGGGACAGACTTATCTCTTCCTTCCCAATGTATTTGCCTCTCATTTCTTTTTCTGGTCCTATTGTACTACCTGGAACTTCAAATGTTGTGTTGAGTGTAAGTGGAGAGAGAAGACATTCTTGCCATCACTGACATTAGGGGAAAGCAAATTAAAATCATTTGTTCTGTGAACGACCCACGAACTGGATGAAAAGACAAGCTACAGACTTGGAGAGACTGCAAGCCACATATCCAGCAGAGGTCTTACATTTAGAATATATAAAGAACCCTTAAAACTCAAGAATAAAAAAGAAAAAACAAAAATTAAAAAAATTTCAGTTAGAAAATTGGTAAAAGACATTTCAACAGGATGTTCTGATGACAAGTAAACGCGTGAAAAGGTGCTCAGCTTCATTAGCTTTTAGGGACATGAAATTAAAACCGTGATGAAATATCACTGGACATCTATCAGAAAAAACTAATATAAAAAATAATGACAACACCAAATTCTGGTGAAGATTTGAGAAACCTGGATTACTTACACATTGCTTGTGGATGTGTGAAGTGCTAGACCCAGTCTGGAGGACAGTTTTAAAATTTGTTTAAAAAGAAGCAAAAGCAAAAGCAAAACTAAACTAAACTTGCCATGGAACCCTAGCAATAGCACTTTTGGGTATTTATTCCAGAGAAATGAAAACCTACGTTCACACAAAAACCTGTACATAAATGTTCACAGCTGATCTATTTAGAATAGCCAAAAATTGGGAAAAACTTAGATGTCCTTCAAAAAGTTGATGGTTGAAAACATCGGTCCACATCTGTACTGTGGAATCCTATTTAGCAATAAAAAGGGATGAACTATTGATAGTTTCAAAGAATCTCAAGGCAATTAGGCTAAATGAAAAAAAAAGTTAATCTCAAAAAGTTAGATATTACATGATTCCATTGTATAATCCTCCTGGAATAGCCAAACTGCAGACATGGAGAATAGATTACTTGTTGCCAAGGGTTGGGGGTTGGGGTGGGCGGGTAGTTCTAGTGGACAGCAGGTGGAAGTCTTGGAGGGGGACAGTGATATATCTTGATTGTGCTTGCAGTTACCTGAATCCACATGTGACAACATTGTAGAACTACACACACTCACACGTACATGCACACACTCACAAATGATTGCAGTGTAAAACTGGCAAAATATGAGTAATCTCTTATTGTATCAATGTCAATTTCCTGGTCTTCAGATACTCTAGTTATATAGGATGGTATAATTGGGGGAAACTGGGTGAAGGATACATAGAATCTCTCTATAATTTTTTTTTTGCAATTTACTATGTATCTGTAATTATTTCAATTTTAAAATGTTTAAAGGCTTAATTAAATTTTAAATTATAGAAAGGACAAGTTATAAAAATAAAGAAATGCTTACATTTTCTCTGATTTTTATATACTTTTGGATTGTAGTTGACAAACCTTGTAATTTTGTGGTCTTGCTGCACATGGCTGGTCCTCAGCTGGCACCGCACGTAACTTTTTAGGCCAGTTCAGCAGCACCTGAGCTGGTCTAGGTTCTGTTACGCTGATGAGGCTCCTCGATGCTGTGCCGCTGTCAGGTTGCCGTGAGAGTTTCTAAACACTTACTGCCAGTTTCTGGACTTACCGCACCTGTGGTCTAGCAACAGCCCGTTGCAGACCTGCACCAGCTCAGCAGCTGCCTGGTAAAGCCCAGGTGTGGAACCTGGTGGGGGCCGGCTGGTGCTCAGGGTCTCCACTTGAGCTGAGCGGGCTCTTTATATGAGAAATAGCTGTCACTGTTGCAGCCAGAAAAATTCTCCTGTGCTTCAGAATTTTCCAGAATCATGATGCTGCCTTAAGTTCTCCCTTTGGAGAACAGGAAGGTATACACAGGGGCAAATTTGTTGTTATTTCTTTTGGAGAACATCTCCTGTTATAAATGATTGCTTCCTGTTTTTTTTCCTGGAAGCTCATTTAAACAAGCCTTCCTTATCCATTAGACTAGGTTGAACATAGTACATTTTCTTATGACTGAAAGTGAGAACTTTCTGGTTAAATTGTGATATATTTTTTACTTGAAAGAAGTATGGAGTTCTCAGTTGGCATCTATGAGTTTGTGTTTTCCCCCTATATGGATAATACAAAATTATTATCATCCTGTTGTAACAGTTCAACATCATGAATATAGTGGGCCAAATGAGGGAACAACGCTGTGGAATGATCCAAACAAAGGTAAGTCTCACCACATAAATTCTAATAACAATAATGAATATAAAGATGAACACTGCGTAGCACATTACAATGTATGAAGCTCTCTTGCCAACATGATGTCATTGAATTCTCATTGTTTGAGATAGACAAGAGTTTTGCTCTTCTGTTACTGAAGTAGTACTTCAACAGCGATGAAGAGTGTTCGATAAGGTCATTCAGATAGCAAGGGGAGGAGCCAGGGCTGAAACTGAAGTCTCCTGATGCCCACACATGCTTCGTCCATAATGCCATGTTTTTTCAGTAACATGTCTAAAGTTATTTTCCATAAATTTCTGGATAGCAGTTTGGGGATATTTACTTGGAACTAAACATAACAGTCATTGGCATGTCATAAAAAAGACATTTATGTCATAGACTAGTTATATTAATCATTGGGGGAATCAAGAAAATATGGATAATAAAAACAAACAGGTACTCATAAATCTTTTTTAGGGTTTTTTTTAAGGCAATGTTGAATGGTATGAAGTGTTTCATTTCGACGAGGGTTGCCTGAGAGACCTGAAAAAAAGTTCAAATTTGATTTATCTAGTGAAGATAAAAAGAGATTGAGATTAAGAGGGAGTTTCTCCTCTATTCAGTCAACCTTCAGTTAACTAATTCTAGACCAAGAACTATATTATCATTTATCTTCCTGGTATTTAAAATATTTTTACATGAAGAATTCTTGGTTAAACGTTTGCTCTTTGTGGTTGAAAATTACAAATGTGTCCTCTGAAAGTGGATATTGGTATTCAATTAACATCCCGTTGTCTTTCATATATATGTATTTAGGAGCAGTATATCTTTTGTTATAAAATTGTGCATGAAGTTCTCCATAAGCTTCTGACTTTAAAGTAAGAAAGACTTCTGTTGCCTCACACTTGAAGTTAGCAAGTGGCTTGGAGCCTCCTCACAGAGAATATGTTCATGCTGTGCTGAAGGGCTTGCTCCTGCAAATGTGCTTTCTTGGTGTATCATTTGACTTTCTTCCTGGCAACTCCCTGAAGGCAGCATCACTGGATTTGGTGTGTTTACCCACTGACCTTCCTTAATATCAGGTAATATCAGGTACCCGCCCACATTTTCCAATGAAATGAAAGTTACATGAAACAACTGCAGCCTATTTGGCTGAAGGGGTTACAGAGCTCAGTAGAGGACTTAAACTGTGTTATTGAAGATTTTATTTGGAAAGACAGCTAACGGGAGCTGAAGATTTTCAGGATCACAAGATCACAGGATCACATTGTGACCTCTTAACAGGCATTTTCAAGATAGACACTTATCCATTATCCGTGGTTTTGAGCTAGAGGCTGTACTTTTAGGTGGCATTTGATTAACTTAGGTTACTGAAGAGTCCAAATAGGATGGGTTAGCCTTCTACACAAAGTGGACTCCATTTTCCTGCACTTCACACTCCTGTGGGGCCCCAGGAACCTCAGAGGACGAGCTGCCTTTCTCGAGCAGCTGGGCAGAGACCTCTTGGTCTGGGAAGTAACTTCATGGGTGGGCAGAGCTCCTCCTCTCCATCACATGAGCACTCTGGTGAAAGGTCCAAAACTGAAATGGATGTTGACATAGAAAGTCCAAGAGGAAATTTCTGCCCATCTTGAGTTCTTCCCTAGTCCACCCTAACGTTTAACATATTACCCAGTCTGCTTTGTTAAAAGCAAATACTACCTTTTACTTTCCTCTTACTCTCTGCCCTTTAGCTAACCAGTAAACTCTGATACCAGCATCATTACATACTTCTGAGTATCTCTAATGCCAGATACATTTCCCAAACTAAAAACTATGATCATTATTTTTTTCATCAGAGTCCATTAAATCATTTCTTTCCATTACTGCCTCGCCCCCTCTACTGTAACACTTAGAAATTGGTTTTGGGAACCAGATTTTGGAAAACCAAATTCATAGTTGTGAAAATGAAAACTTCCATATTCTGTTTTTGAAAAGATGTGGCCATTATTACATTCATCTTATTATAGGACATTGCCTCATCCAATTATAGTGATATTTTGGTCAAGGAATTTTAGTGACCAGTTATACTTGATTATAAACTATAAAGCAAGTGATACATGTCTTTGTATGTTGTAATTCAGTGGAGATCAGAATAGTCTAACATACTGAAAACATTTCTAACATTAATTTGTAAATCTTGAATTTTTAAGACACTTATTTTGTTCTCTTGGCTGAATGAATACTTGAATTGGTTGAATTGAAATTGATAATTCTCATTTAAAAATAAATATATTCCAGAAATATACTTTATATTAAATGGAATTGATGATTTTTACTTACTTACATTGTTTATATAAATAAATATTAATTTAATTCTGATGATTGGCTTTAAATATTTGTATTACTAATTTTATTTTCTATTATTGTAAAATAATAGAATAATGTACAATAATCTTTCTGAGAAGGATTCTATACTATTATTTAAATTAAAAGATTTAGTATATATTGCCTGAAGTATTTTTATTTGGGCCTTGAAATGTTCTTGTAAAGAAATACTCCACAATTCTTGGTGGTAAACATGTCTCTTCTTTAATGTGTGCCTCATATTTATATAGCTGGACTAATTTTAAGTTTTCCAGGTAAACTAAGTAAGTATATATGGAAATATTGCATTTGTTTTTATTTCATTTTTGGAAAGCAAATTCCAAACTGAAAATGTTTGACTAATTGAAGTGCTAAGTTTCACATCAACAATAAGTTAGTTTTTGCCTAGGATATGAATATTCCCATTGATACCTTTGTGAGTACATGAACGCTTATTTAGAGGAACTTTAAAAATACTTAAATGTAAACACATATGCACATATTAGCTTTCAGCTTCAAATACATATTTTTGAAGTTGTATGTGCTTCATGGACTTAGATGTTGGACCCAAACTTTTCAGAAATAAACATTGTAGGTTTTATTCTCATATAAGTCTTAATAATTTATTTTTCTTTGGACCTTTCACCCCCAATCTGTCTACAACACTACTGAATTTTCAATTAAGTTTAAAATTCTTACTCAAAGGTCATTTCAATGAATTATTTTTATTGAAAAATCTCTAAGGAAAATACCTTAAATAGCTCTAAAACCAAAAAGTTTCATTTCCTACTTAATTTTTCTTAACCCCTGGGAAGAATTTTCTTCTATGTTATCTTGAGTTTCAAGTAATTGAACCAGAAGATTGGAAAGCATTTGGTACGTAAAAACAGGTGAGTGGTATTCAGTGGGGGTGCTGGATTGCTCAGTGGAGTACTCTGTTTATCTACAGCCACAATCAAAAAGCAATAACTAATGACCTCATAAGGAAACAATGTAAATTAGAAGGAATCTTTAAAGATACTTACTGCAGCCATCATATCTGAAACTTGAACATTTTTTAGACACTAATAGCATACTTGGAGTGGAAAAAATGGAGCCTTCCGATTAACAAAACAGTCCCTCCTGTTAGCACTGTAGTTGAATACTGCTCTGGAGTTATCTAGACAATAAGACTACGAAAAGGAATGATTGGCATAAATATTAGGAAGATAGAACACAATGATCTTTTGTTTGTGTATTTTGCCTGCATAGAAATAACAGACTCAACTGAAGCATAGTATTAGACATTCATTGTGGAGTCTGGAGAGAAGATACCTATGTGCCAAAAACTGATCTTTCTCTATATCCGGGGGCAGCAAACTATGGTCCGCAGGCCAAACCTGACTGAGCGCTTGTTTTAATAGCATCTTATGCCATTTCTTTACATACCGTCTGCAGCTGCCATTGTGCTACAATGGCAAAGCCGAGGTTAGAAGTTGCCGAGGTCATATGGCCCGTAAAGTCTAAAACGTTCATCATCTGGCCCTTTAAAGAAAAACTTGGCCGACTCCTGTTACCTGCCTTTAATAGGAAAATACCTCTGAGCAACAGGGACGTATATATTTTATGAAATGTATAAAATGCTTAAGATTAAACTTACCAAGAACCTGACCAGCTGACGCTCTTACCCTAAGTGAGTAGAACATGCACGAAGAGAACCAAGGAATTTTTGAAAAGAAAGATCCATTGCGGGGACGGGAGGGAGTTTGCCTCAGAAATGATACCACAGGGATCAAAGTTGTAGTAGTTAAAACAGTGTGACGCTGGGGCAGAGATGCACAAGTAGGTCAGTGGAACGAAACAGACATGAAACAGACTCCACATTCCTCTCTTAGTGATTGATAAAATAAGTAGACGGAAAATCAGTAAGGGTGTGAAAGACACGGCTGACACTGCCAGCCAGCCTGACCTAACTGGCGTTTGTAGAACACTGCAGCAGAAAGTGCATTTTTCAAGTGCACATAGAACATTCACCAAGACATTATATTTGGGGTTCAAAATAAGTCTCAATATAATTAAAAGGAAAGACACTATAAAAGTATGTTTATGGAATTAACTAGAAATCAGTAACAAAAAATATTTCAAAAATTCCAAAGCATTTGGGAATTTAACAGTGTACTTCTAAAAAACTTACGGGTCAAACAATAAAAAATAAAGAGAAATTAGAAAAATATTTTGAAATAAAATGAAAACACAACATATCATACACAACATGTAACTTGTGAGATGCAGTGACAAAGTTTAGGGGGGAAGACCAATGCTTGGTTTGGTCTATGCGGAATTTGCTATGCCTGTGGGACATCCAGGTGTCTCTGCAAGTCTCATGTTAAAAGGATTCCTGAGCTGTAGACCTAGATCCTGGGGAATGTATGCCTTGAAGGTGATGTTTGAAGGCATGGGAATGGGTGAGCTCCTCCAGAGAAACTGAGATGAGGCTGGGGCAGAGCCCTGGGGAACGCCAGCACTGATTCCCACCTTGACTGCCCTTTATGGCCTCAGAGCCACGGCTCTTCTTCCAGGAAGCCCTCTTAACACTCGGCTCTTCCCGCTCTGATCCTTCATCAGTGCTTCTCAAGCTCTGTGCTGAAAGACCTGCTCTATTTACAAGCAGACGGACCCCACAACACCCGAAACAGCCAGCAGGTATTCACTGGAAAGTGTGCTGGGCTCACCTGGGAACAGCGGTGGAGACGACGAGTAGCACCACTGTCCTCTTCCAAAGCGAGGAGGGGCCAGCCGCACTCGGTAAGGCCGTCGAGGGTCGGAGCGGTCTAGTTCGTATCTAGCCTAAAAGCTGCCCAGCCACGACTCTTCCAGAGCAGAGCCCCACACTGAGGAGAAACTAGAATCAAAACTGAGCAGAACAGGGGTAACAGGGAAAAGAGGAGGTCCGTGTAAGGCGCGGGAGGGGACAGAGCGGGAAAACCTGTGTGTTTGACATCTTGACGCACAAGAGCCTTGTGGGGGAGACGGTGGTGTGCAAGTGGCTGTATGACCTGACGGAGTAGCCATCATCACTTTAAATGGGGGAGAATGGGCACAGCATGAGCAGAAGAGCCCAGTGATTAATAGAACAAGCGGACAGAAACCAGTGAGACGGCAGGAGGAAGCAGCCATGTGTAAGCCAAGGGGAGTGGCTTCAGAAGGAACCAACACTTTCACCCTTCAGAATTTTAAGAAAATAAATTTCTGTTGTATAAGTCAAAGGAACATACCAGCGAGACTGTAAAAGGACATGATGCCCCCAACCGACCAAAGGACCTGTGTGATCACTGCACCTAGCTGCTGGACAATGTACTTTTTTAAGCTCTCACGACACTTACAATACTCCCCTGCCAAACATGACCGTACCCTGGGCTGTAAATCAAATTTCAACTTATTTCAAAATATTGAAATCATAAGCAGTGTGTTTTCTAAACCAAATGCTATTATGCTACAAATTAGTAACAATGATAACTGGACGAAGAACAAGAATGGGGGAAACAAAGGTAATTTTATTATAGAATCTGGAGACTTAAAAAGAAAATGCAGGCTCTAAAAGCAAGGGCAACAAAAGCAAAAATAAGTGGGAGTGTATAAAACTAAAGAGTTTCTGCACAGCAAAGGGAAACCTCAACAAAATGAAAAAGGAAACCTATCGAGGGGCATCAAACATTCGTAAATCATATAATAATGGTAATGGGCTAACATCCAAAATACATAAAGATCTCATACAACTCAATGGCAAACAAACAAAAACAACAGGAACCAAGCAATCGGATTTAAAAAACACACAGATGATCTGAACAGGTTTTTTTTCCCAAAGAAGACACAGATGTCCAAAACGTACAAGAAAAGATGTTCAGCACCACTAACCATCAGGAAAATGCAAATCAGAAGTACAGTGAGCTGTCACTTCACACCTGTTAGACGTGGCAAGGATGTGGAGAAAAGGGAACCCTTGGATCACAGAAATTTGGGACACACCACATTCCATGCACCTCTCCAGCTGGAGGTCCCCAGTGCACATGAGGACACGGGCACCTGATAGAGCCGGAGGAGGCCTTGCAGGTAGAAAATGCCAGCCCTCTCTCAGCTCCTGGTGTGAAATTGTGACTGTAGGAAGGAGGATGAGTGAATGAAATATCAGACTGTAATAACAAAGTTGTTTTTGTCTCTTTGGTGGATTTATAGAAATTCCATTACATTGACTAGAGTTCTATATTCCCTGATGTCTGGCGTATTTGAAAATGTATT